GGGGGGGGTGGTGGGGGGGGCAGCATATGTAATGTTTGTTACTCTTTTTTTAATTCTTAAAAAGCTTTAAATGTCTGTGTTGTAGCCCCTTCTTGGACCTGTTAACACATAGCTGTTGCTAGAAATTTCATTCTGGGGGAGGAGGAAGGAACAACTCAGCTTGGAAAGATCTCAATCATATAATAAGAACAGGGAGGAAATAGCAGAAGGAAGGATATAGCTGAATACAACAAACGTAACTTACCTCTTGGGGGGCAGCAAAGTCCTGGAGGAAGACTGGGAAACCATGGTGCCTTGCAGTGTCTGCTGTGAGAACATTTCTAGGGCCTTGGGTCCTATCTTTGCTTGTGCCTGTCTTATAACACTAGGGACTAAAACCTAATATTTATGATTAAGTTTGCTAGGCTGCCTAGAGAATTTAATTGAGTTTAAACTCTCCTGGTAGTAATTGTTAGTAATTTCCACCCCCTTGCCACATATGCATCATCAGCAAAGGGCAAACATCTAAATCCTAAGCTGATCCACTGAAAGGTGAATTGACTTGCATTTCTGTTTTTCCTAACACATATACAATGGATGCGTGCTCTACTGTTGCAATTAATCCGTCAACAAAACTGTGTCACTTGCTTATTGTTTCCAGTATGGGTACTTCCAGTTGCCATCTTAGGCTGGAGTAGTGCTCGGGTAGGTGTGTTGTGCTGTAGGCTCTTGGATTCCTGTACTGAGCTACACTATTGATTTCCATTACTGTCCCTTTTGGGGAAAGGAGAAGCAAACAGGATCCACTAGATTTCAGTCCTCCACTAAAAGCTTTTCCGTTCTAAACCATCACTGCTTTATCAGAAACTAATTAACTGGAACTTCCTTAGCTTGCCTCTTACCAGCAAAGGTCTCTAGCCCTACACCTGAGGATAATAGACCATTTTATGTCTAGGTCAAACTTCCCACTCAGTTCATGTATGATTACTTTTCTGTGTTACACAGTAGGATTTTTAGCCTAGTTCTGTTACCAGCTGAAGAAAGAAAAGTCTCATAGTGATATATTAGACAGAAAAAAGCTACTACTAAGAAAATTATTTTCTTGGTAACCTGTTTAAGATGATAGCAGAAAGAGTGGTAACTGCAAAGGTGCTTGGTGTAGCATGGCATTAAATACTGGATATATAAATTAAATGGCAGCCTGCAGCAATCTGAGAAAACCTTCATTTGCACAGGATGCTGTCACATATGACATATAGTAGAAGACTATATACTAAGGCTTTCATTCAGAATAAAACATGTAAACATAAGAAGTAAGTAGTACTGGATACTGTAGTACCTAAAATATGACTACTGATTCCCTCATTATAGAGAAAATTAGATTGTATATACATGTGCGGCATAGAACTTCAGAAAATAAACTGATTTTCTTTCCAGTCACCTGCCTGATTAAGTCTCCGTGTTATCTGAGGCATTTTAAAAATATAAATATTTAAATAACATTTACTAAGCACTCTTCCATTGTTTCAACAACTGTCAATCACTTTTGAGAGCGGTATAAAAATAAATTGGGACTTTCTGCACCATGTTTTTTATACATTGCAAACTTCCTGGAATCTATGAACACCCGTCTGTGCTACATACTTGACTGCTGAA